CAGGATGGAACAGCCGTGCCTCTGGGCAGCTCACTGCCCTCCCGTGAGTGCCAGCCCAGGGGAAATGAACCAGAGAGGGTGAAGGGACAAGACCAGGCCTTCAGCCAGTGCAGACAGGGACCGGGCTGTCCTCAGGGAGGGGAGGGTAGAGACCCACGGAGAGGAGACAGGGAAGGCGGGGTGGATGGCAAATGCCCCCAAAACTTAGCTTCAAACAGCAAATAGCCACGCTGGGCGTGGTGGCACACACCTGTGATCCCAGCACTTGGAGTATGAGGCAGGAGGATCACAGTGAGTTCCAGGCCAGCCTAGGCTACATAGTGAGTTTTTTGTTTTGTTTTGTTTTTTGTGTTTTTGAGACAGGGTCTTGCTATACAGTTCTGGCTGGCCTTGAACTCACTTTGTAGCCCAGGCTGGTCTGGAATTTGCAATGATCCTCCTGCCTCAGCCTCCCAAGTGCTGGAGTGCTGGGATTACAGGTGTGCGCCACCATGTCCAGCTCCTATATAGTGAGTTTAAAACCAGGCTGAATTACAGAGAAAGGCTGTCTCAAAAAGAAAAAAAAAAAAAAAAAAAAAAAAAAAACCCCCAAAAAAAAAAAAAAAAAAACCCTCCCCAGCTAATAGCCACTGTCTCCCGGGTCCCTGCAGGTTGGAGTCTGGCCCAGTTTAGCTTGAGACTCGGCTCAGCATCCCTGTCTCCCACAAGGTTCCAATCAGGGCTGCAGCCCCCTCCCCCATGAGGTTGGGCAAGGATCCACTTCATGGCAGCTGGCTCCAGAGAGGGAGATAGAGAGGAGGAGAGGGAAACCGAGGGAGGGAGGGAGGGAGGGAGAGATGGAGCACCCAGCACAGTCCCAGGGCTGCTGTACTCCCTACACAGGGCAGAGGACCACTGAGGCTTGCGGAGGGAAGGAGAGGCCAGAAGGCTGTCCAGCCGTCCTCCTGCAGAAGGCTGCAGCCTACCCTTAGGGTTTAGATCTAGGTGTCCCCAACAGCCTAAACAGGCTGGCACAGGCGGGGCTCAAGGCTGGCCTGCTAGGAGGCGGGGTCTGGCAGGAGGGGCTCCCTAGACTGGGGCACAGCTAGAAAGGTGCTTCCCCCTCACTGCTCCTGCCTTGGGGGTGCAACTCCCCTCCCAGACCCTTCCACTGCGTCTGGCCTTGGAGCTGGCCAGTTACAACCTTTCCATCTCTAAGCTGTGGGCAGTGGTACTGTGTACCTGCAACAAGAAAGCAGCTGAGACACCTCCTGTGGTCACGTTCCTGGCCCCCACGGGGTCCACCCCGCAGGAGGGGAGGAGGGAGCAGGGGGACACCCGGAGACATGACCGCTTCCTTATACCCGCCCCATAAACTTGGGCCTGCACCCCGGGGCAGCAGGGTGTACACAAGACAGGGTTCTGGCCTGGAAAGCCCTGAGGGGCTGCGTGCCTATGAGCGTCACGTTCTCCGTGCAACGTGGGTCGTCACCCACTTCACAGTGACGACCCACTTCATGCTAAGGGCATGCCCCTGCACCCACACATCAGGCCCTTCGAGGGCCCTTGCTCTCAGAGCAGGGCCAGGGTGCTCGGAGCCCAGTCAGTGGCTCAGCCTGCCTGAGGCACCTTCTGGTCCCTTTCCCTAACCCACCACCTCTACCCTCTCACGGAGCCCAGTCTGCCCTCAGCCCCCACAGCCAGAGAAGGCCAGACTGGGCCGGGCCAGCAGAGGCTCCCACACTCAGCTGCACGCCCTCCTTCCGGCCCTGCTGAGGAGCACTTTCCATGTGGGGGCCGAGCGCAGGGCTGTCACAACAGCGTCCCGGCTCCCAGGCTGGCTTACGTAACCAAGCTGCCACCCCCACTCCGCAGCACCCTGCGCTCTACCTGGAGCCCACAGCAGGCCTGCAGAAGGACCCCACCACACCCAGGCGCTCTCACAGGCCCATCACCAGCCACCTCTCCCTGAGGGTCTCTCACCCACACGATGCTCTCCAGTGCCGCATGTCCGGGAACCACACGGCTGCTGGGCACCTGCAGCTGAGTGAACATCACAGCAATTGCACACACTGTGAACATACCCACCCAGGCCCTCCTCCAAGGGCTCTGCTGCACCACCACAGCTGATCGTCACCAAGACCTGCTGCGGGGTTGCTGTCCCCATGTATGGACAGAGGGGTGGCGCCACCATGGCCGCTCCTGGAAGGCACCAATGTGGAACAGACTGACCCATCAGCAGGCAGGAAGTGGGAGGGGTGAGCACAGTGGCCAGAATCCTTCTGCCCCCTCCGGATGCCTGCAAGCGCCAGGGAGGCAGGAAAGCAACGGTGTCGTCCTAATCCCACTTCCCTGATCCCTGCCAGGACACATGGCATGAAACAGCTGGGGTCCGCTCCTACTCCAAGGTGGCGAGGGCTCTGCTCCATCCAGGCTGCCCCGCCAGCCCATCGCTGCAGGACGGGAGCCAAAGGAGCTGGGCTATGTTGTCCTCGGGCTGCAGCAGTCCCAGGGCTTCTCTGGAGCCAGGGACCCCTCAGTGGCCTAGGAGAGGAGCTGTGGGTTTCAGCCAAAGGTGCTGGGTAACCCGCAGGGCCTGCTCCATGCTGGGCATGGGGAAGAGACCCGAATTCTCTCAGAGGCCTGCTGATGGGGACCAGAGGACAAGCAGGAGGAAACTGCAGCCAGCCCAACGGGGCCAGGGACAGAGCACTGGCTGGCCAGCACCACAGCTGCAGTGACCAGAGATGGCTGCAAGAGGCCAAGCAAGGCGGCCATCACACCCAGGCCTTCTGGTCGGGGCCTCTGCCCTCCCTCATGGGGGAAGGGGCCTGGCCAGAGTCCAAATCTCTCAGGACCCCTGGCAGCCCTGCTCCCGACTCCTGAGACAAGCAGATGTGGTCCTCAGAGCAGCTGGGTCTCTCTGAAAGGGATGGTGGGGAGCATGCTCACAGAGACACCCAAGTGCCCCAGCCCCTGCTCAGGGGCACCAGGTTCCACTTGGGAGTGGAGAACAATGTCAGTCACCCCGACTATCACAGGACAGGAGGCCACACCGGGGAAAGCCCACCTAACCCTGAGGTCCTGAATCTTCATCACCAGACCCAGGAACCTGTCACGCGGTTGCCGTCAGCAAGGGAAATGGGGGCGGAGGGGCACGGGCAAGGGTCCCACTCACGCTGTCTCAGCCTTGCACTACACACAATGTGATACACACAAAAGTACCAAATGCACACATGCATTTGTGCAGATACACGTGTACGCTTCACCTTCACTCCAATGCGCAGGTTCCCACCTCTGGATTTAGCTCTCAGCAGCACCTACAGCTGTTAACACCTGGTTGTACCTCAGTTTCCCCATCTGAAGTCAGGAGGGAGAGACACGATCCCCCAGAACATGCAATGCCCCGGTAATGACTGGCGGCTGAGGATTGGATGCACCCTACCCCTATGGCCTGTCAGAGCAGCGGTGGCCCGGAATGTCCTGGCAGGCAGTGGCCTGGTGTCTGGCGCCCCCTAGTGGGCACTGTCTTCCATAACCCTAGATCCCCCATAATATCATCCCGATGGGGTTTTGTTTTGGGTGTGGTTGGGGTTTCGTCTCACTATGCAGTTCAGGCTGGGTAGCAGTCCTCCTGCCTCAACCTCCCGAGCGCTGGGATTGCAGTCGTAAGCCACCACACCAGGGCTCCTGCTAGAGTTTAAAAGGACCAAGCCAAGGTCCAGGGAGGCAGCTCAGGGGTATCTAGGGAACAGCACACGGTTACTGATGTGCTGGCTGCTCTCACTAGAAATGGGGTGCAGGGACACGGTCCTGAGTCCAGGACCTGCACTGGGCCCCTGGCCCAGACCCACACTCCCAGGACCCAGCGCCAGAGTGCAGGCACTCCACGCTTCCCTTCCCGGGGTCCCCACAGGGCCCAGGACATGTCAGCAAGACCGCCCCACAAGCTGCAGGCCCTGGGGCAAGGCTGTGTCCAGGCCATGATGCACCTGCTACCCCGGGACATCGCTGCCCAACTGTCACTGTCCAGAGTATTACTCTCCACTCAGGGTGAGTCCCTCTGCCAAGAAGTGCTGATTCGGGGAGCTGCTCAGCCCCTATGGGCATTCCTCTCCCAGTGTGAGTGAAACAACGCACCTACCACAGGTGCACGGGGAGATGCAGCACGCACTCTGCCTGAGCCTGTTGCCCCTCGCACCAGCTAGCACTATGCAGGGAGCTGCCCACTGCCCCACAGCCTGCGCCAGTGCCCCGGCCTCCTCCGGGCCAGCAGGACCACCTGACTGCTGCCTGCCACCCTGTGTACTCACTGGGAAAGGCCCTGGTGAGTGCGCGAGCGGAAGGTGAAGGGGCGGCTGAGACACGGTCAGAGGGGCTGAGGGTAGAAGGGGCACATCCCCTCAGGACCCTACGGACTGCTCATAGCCCAGCCTCTCCTCTCCAGAGCAGCATGCAGCTGGAGGCGGCTGACACAGGGCCCACAGCTGCTCTGCCCAGGAAGGACCCGCCCCCACAGCCTGGTCTCCGCATCCCCAGGCCCCCCACACCCAAGCCTCCCCCACCCAGCTCCTGAGGTACCCCATGCTGGCAAGGGCTGTCACTACCCCCAAGCAGTGCTGTACGTCACACAACAGGAGACCTCAGGGCTCAGACAGACAAGATGACAGGCTAATGGGCACCAAAAACACCGCCTTGGGTGCAGAGGCACAAGCTCATGGCTCCAAGCCTCACGGGCACCAAGCAAAGCAGGCACTCAGAGTTTAGCTTTGCATCCAAACATCTCCCCAGGAGCCAAGGCAGGAAGCTGAGCAGCTGGATGTTTCTGCACAGGTACACACTTGGGACACACACCGCCACCTGCTGTGTGTGGACACCCCTGCTACACACTCCTCCCATGGGGCTTCCCTTTTTTTTGAGACAAGTTCTTGTTATGTAGTTCAGGCTGGCCTCAAACTCATGGCAATCCTGCTGCCTCAATAGTGCTGGTCTTACTTTTTAAAGACTACTTTAAAGACTACTTTCAATGTCAAAATTTTATTTCACTAGCCTTTTCTTAACTTCATGAATCCTAGATTTTGAAAAACAAAATACAAACTCAGTTTACATACTGTGTATTTGCACAATACAAAAATCTAACAATCGAAGCAAAACGCTAGTAATTTTCCTCCAACCCTGGTCCTTCTGTGCTCAAGGAAGGATTCAGTCAGTCCCAAATGCCTCTGCCCCAGGGCCATACCGCTTGGGGGTGCCCTGCAGGCCCCCAGGGAGGAGGTGAAGAGTCTCTGCCCTCTGCTTTAAGGCCTGCGTCCCCACACACTGAATGCCTCCACCGCTGCGTCCTGCCACATGGGCCCCTGCGAAGCTGTCGAGGACCCTTGGTGCCACCCTCAAGGCAGGGGCCGTGCAGTGCCCCCAGGACTGGACACCAAGGCACGGTAAGGCCAGGCAGTGACTTGCACTATGGCCCTACCTGAGCACATGGGGTGGCGGTGGGTGTTTCTGGCCCCCAAGCTCACTCTCCCAGCTTCGAGCACCAGCCTCATTCTACCTTCCCACACGCAGCACAAGAAAAACCTGCAGCACAAGGTCAAGGACTCAACACAGGGCCCAGGCTCAGTTGGTCTGTGGGCTCCAGCACCTGTTCCTGACCCACACCCACCCTGCCAGAGGACAGGTGGGGCAGGGACACCAGGCACCCGACACACATTCTTTATCACAGAGACCCAAGGCACACATCCTGGTCCAGTGCCAGGGCAGCAGTCCAGAGGTGGTAGCAGCACACACAGGCAGGAAAGCAGGCAGGGCCGGAGGGCAGGAGCGGGGGCGGCTGGGTGTCCTCACTTGAGGCGGTAGAGGACCCTGCGCTGCATGCGGTGCTGGACCTCGCCACGGCGCAGCATGAGCTGCAGCACCTTGTGGATGGCGTGCTCCGGGTATTTCTGTGGGCAAACATGGGACAGATGCAAGGCCATCGTGGGACATCTGCACCCACGGGGGCCCCTGGCATGGGAAAGGGCCCTGAGCTTCCACTGTTACTTGGCACGGGCACAGGCCCTCACCTGCACCAGCACTGCACCCCAGCAACCAGGAAAGAACTCCCCATCTTACAGAGGGAAAAACTGAAGCACAAGGGCTCAGTGGCAAAAAAACTGAGGCACAAAACCTAACCACCTGCTTGAGGTCACAGCAATTAGTAGAGCTGGGGTGAAGTCCAGTCCCCATCACCAGACTCTGGTCAGCCCTAAACATTTAACTAAGCTCAGCAGTTCACTCCAGACCAGGCTCGGCAACAACTGCCACAGGGCAAGACCAGGAGACGTGCAGGAGGCAGAGCAGGACTAGAAGCCAGGGAGCCCGCGACTTCACAGGTGCACGCTTAGCAAGGGACCCAGAAGCCCCCTGACCCCAGAGAGCTGGAGGGCTCCACTAGCCCAGGAATGAGGGCATGACCAGGCAAAGCTGGGGGCACAGGATGTGGCTCCACCAGAGCCTGGCCACCTTGCCCCTCTCTTTTGCAGGACAGAAAAAGAAACCCCTAAGCCAGCAGCGCTGGTGTGCACATGTAACCCCAGCACTCTGGGAGGCTGAGCCAGGAGAATGCTGAATTCAAACCCAGCCTGAGCCATTCAGGCACTTAAGACCCCACCTTCACAATTTAAAAAACAAAACAAAACAAAACACACACAGCTGGACTTGGTGCAGGCACTCGGAAGGCCAAGGCAGGAGGATCACAAGTTCAAGGCCAGACTGAACTGTCCAGTGAGACCCTGTCTCAAAAGGGGATGCAGCTCAGCACGAAGAAAGGCCCTGGGTTCAACAGCCAGTACTGCCAGAGGAATACCGAATCCTCCCGGGCCCTGCAGAAAGTGTGCCTGGGGAGGGGTGACGGCTGGACAGGTTAGGATGAGGAGGGGCAGCTGCCCCCCCCACTGGGGCCACCTGCTGAGCCGAAGGACAAGTGCTGGGGTGGGAGCCCACCCCAGGGCCCTACCCGAGGCGAGGCTCACCTGCTTGGTGAAGTCCTGGATGATGCTGTGTTCAGATACCTGGGAGCCAATGGCAAAGCGGCGCTTGAGCTGCTTCTCGATGCGGCTCAGCATCTCCTGGTCCTCCTGGCTGGTGAAGCCCTCCACTCCTGGAGAGACAGGCCAGGCCCCCAGTGCTCAGAAAACACGGGGCCAGGGCATATTGAGGGCAAGAGCACTCCAGTGGAGGTGGAGGCAGGGACACACAGCTGGCCTGACAGCCCAGGGCAGGACAGGCCATACAGGTAACCAGGGTAACCCTAACGGGGCTATACAGACTCTGAGAGGATACACACTATCTCTGGGTGACAGTCACCCAGAAGCAGGTCAGATAGGCCAACAGATGGATCCCAGTCAGGTGGCCATAGGAAAAGCTTCCTGGGACAGGCTGGATGGGAGCTTAGGACCGTGGGTGATAAAGGAAGGTACGCAGGAGCCCTCGGCTATGGGACTCAGGACTTTCAGCTTCAGCTGTGGGGCACCTCCGTGCTGACCAGGCTGCCCACCCACTGAAGGAAGAGCATGGGGCCTCCCCCTCGAGGGTGACCTGGCCTGGCCACCCCGTCACCTCCTTGGGCTCACTGAGCCTCAACTGCAGTGGGGCTCTGCTGCCATCTGCCGGCTCTTGGCCCCACTACACGTGGCGCCTGGAAAATCAGAGTCCATCTGCCAGGGAAGGGTCAGATGCAGCCCAGAGGAGCTGCACATGCCATGCTCCTGTGCAAGGCCGAGTTTTCAAAACCAGTGCCTGGGCTAGGGAAACTGGGACCCAGGCCACGTTAAGGGTTCTGACATCATTCTGTCCTCCTGTGGTGGAAGGACCAGCAGTCCAACTTAACATCTGGGGCGCAGGTGTCAGAAACAGAGCCATGGCTGGGAAGCCCTGACAAGGCCGAGCCCAACAACCAGGGGCTGACTGCTGTGCCTAAGCCATGAAGCCAGCAGCAGGGCCACAGTTTAGGTCAGTGGGGAAGCTGCTGCCTCCCACCCTGAGGAGCGGCCAGGGGAACAGTGGGGTTTGTGGCGGGCTGACGTCGAAGTTCTCACAGAGCAGCTCCATGGGAGTGGGGAGACAGCACTCCCCAGGCTGCCAGCACTCCCCAGGCCAGGGTGGTGGCACCTACTCACCAGACAGAGTGCCCGACAAGGCGGCGTCCAATGTGGACACTTGGAAGAGTCTCAGGGCCTCCTCCACGTCTGCTTCCGTGGCGAAGGGCTGCAGCTTCATCTTGCTGAGAGCCTCTGCGATGCGCACAATGGCCTCCAGTTGCCTGCAGGATAATGGGAACTCAGGGCGGCCTCAGCCCACCTCACCCGAGGGAGGGGAGACCGCAGCAGGGGGCCGCTGGCTGTGCCTGCAACCCACCGCCCTCTGCTCTGTGCAGCAGAACCCTGATCTCTACTCTGGTGCTTGCTAGCTGCTAAAGTACACCTCCTGCCTCTTGCGTTCAGGTGCACCTGACCAAGCTGCGGCCAGTGAGCTTTACGTCTGAGCACTGCGTGTGATATCAGGGAACACCCCCAAAGTGGTGAGCCCCGCTTTTCTTTCTTCTCTGCTGCCCTGGATGCACGGGCAGGCAATGGCCGGAGCCCCAGCAGTTGGCTGGGGCCAAGGCAAAGGGTGGCCCTGCAGGCATGCCAGTGCCTGTCACACGGCAAGCACTGGGAATAAACTCCCTGGCTGCACAAGCTACTCCAGTTTCCACTCCACAGCCAAAGCCACTAGTAAGCGGTGCTGGAGGCGGGGCCCACAAGCGCACGAGAGCAGAAAGCAGTTCCGGCATCACACAGCACCGAGGGGAGGCTCACCGCACAGTGATGGGGATGCTGGAGCGACGGTCACTGTCTCTCTCATGCTGTCGCGCCCCACTCCGCATGATGATGTAGCGGTTCTTCAGCTTCTCTGCAGCCTCTGCAGACAGCCGGGGGCCACACTTCCTACAGGAAGACAGGGAGCACCCAGTGAGGCCAAGGGGGCACTGGGTGTCACCACACCCACACCACCTGCCCCGAGAGCACTGGGCTTTGGAGATTTAATGAAAAGGGCTGGCAGTGAGCAGGTGCCAGAGGCCAACAAGTGGGAGACAACAGGGCCACTGAGGGGAGGTGGGCGGGGAAGCCAGGCGCCACAGGGTGAGAAGGGCCCCTCTTGTCACGTCAGGTGGATTCCAGCCACACCCGGCAGTGACAGGGAGGCCTGCAGTGGGCAGCGTCTAGCAGGTCTGATGAGCGGTGCCTCTGCCTTCTGGTCTCCCTCTTGGGGTGCTGCAGCGTCACGGGGACATAAGCAGCACAGGGCACCCAGGCTCACTCACAGCCTGTCCCCACTACCTCTCAACACTCACTTGCCTTCCTTGCCTCAGTTTCCCATCTATAAAATGGACAACAGTACTCCTAGCCACCTGACCTCTGAGGTCCAGGAGGAGGGTTGAAGTCTGATGTATGCAGAACACCAGGATCATGCCTGGCAATGACTACCACTCCTGGAAGGGTGCAGGAACAGCAACTGCATCTCGGCAAAGGGACCCGCCAGGTGCTTACTCGTTACCTTGTGCAACCACTCCAGAAACCCTAAGAAACTCCACCCGAGGAAATGAGACTCAACAAGGTTGACTGACCTGCCTTAAGTCACACAGCACAGCCACGTCCACAACAAACTCCCTGTGTATCAACTGGAGGGGTCTGGGGGACCACCCAAAATCTTAGGCTCTGTGCAGCTGGGGAAAGTGCCAGAGCCAGAGCAAGCTGTGCAGGGCAGCGCCAGGACAGCGCCATCGGGGCAGGCCACACCCAACACTCACGCACGGCAGTAGGCGATGAACTTCTTCAGCTTAGCCAGGTCGACCTCGCCCTCCACGGCCTGAGTCTGTGTCAGTGCACTCACATGCAGGGTGAGAACGTGTTTTGCCAGCATCTGGGAGGCAGACAGGAGGGATGCTGGGGTAGCCCTGGGTCCCCAGAGGAAGGCAGGCCACAGGGGCCGAGGAGGCCGACTCCAAACCATAAGGCGCTCAGGTCTCAGGTGCTCACCCTGCTGCCCTCCCCACAGCCTGGCCACTCCAGGGCAGGCATCTACAGAAGGACGCACATGGGGCCCACCCAAGTCAGTGATGCCCCCAGGGCTGCTGCTAGAACCACTGCGAACAAGGGGTCTCCTGTAAACCAGGGCAGCTGAGCCGGCAGACGTAACACGGAGCAGGGAGCAGCTACCAATGCAAGGCCTCTACCACAGGAAGCCAGGCAGGGGCAGAGCTGTCTACAACAAGCGCTGTCTGTGCTAGATCCTCTGGCCCCACCAACTCCACAGAGTATCACGCTTCCCTCAGCTGCATACTAACCAGAACCGGGTCCCCTGTGGGTCAGCCAGAGAGCCCTGTCCCATGTGAGGGTGAGGGCCTGGGAGAGGGATAACCCCATCACACAGCACTCACTCCTCGGGCCAGAGCCCTGCAGGCCACCACAGCCACCTCCTATGTGCCCAATGCCAGCCAACTCAGCCTTGGGACTTGGCTGGCCAAGGCCCATTCTCCATCCCCAGCCCCGCCGTGGACGCACCACATCCCTCTCCTCATTGTGCTCGTCCTTGACGATGAAGATCATGTCGAAGCGGGACAGGATGGTGGGCATGAAGTCGATGTTGTCCTCCCCCTTCGTCTCATCCCAGCGGCCAAACACCGAGTTGGCAGCAGCCAGAACAGAGCAGCGTGAGTTCAAGGTGGTAGTGATTCCAGCCTGCAAGGGATGGATCACCAAGAACCTGGGGGAGGCCGCTCTCACACACGTATACACGCACACACAGGTGTACACCCACATGTGGGCAAACATACTTGCAGGTGCGGCCCTGCCACCAGCACGCGCCTGGGCAACCAGGACGGAGCCAACCCACAGTGGCCCCAGGACAGTATGCCAGCTGCGGGCGGAGCGGGGAGGCTCACCTTGGCGATGGAAATGGTCTGCTGCTCCATAGCCTCGTGGATTGCCACACGGTCATCCTCTCGCATCTGCAGGGTGCAGGGAAATGTCCCTCAGACCCACCCAGGTGGGGCAGCGGTGCAGGAAAATTAGCAGCAACTCTCACTCCAGGACAACTCTACACCAGGGCCTGGGCAGGAACTGGATCACCTCCAGCTGTGGGTTTGGCCAGACTCTCCCGAGTTTCCCGGCAAACTTGAGGCTCAGACGCTAAACAACTCGCCAGTGACCCCAGAGTGACTGGCCCAGTCTCCCCATCAGAGCTAGCTTCTGTCAGGCATGCACTGGAAGCCACACAGCCCAGTCCTGTGACGCCAAGGTGCCGGCGTCCGGCCACCACCTGCCTCTCACTCACCTTGTCAAACTCATCAATACAGACAACCCCGCCATCAGCCAGGACCATGGCCCCGCCCTCCATGATGAAGTTCCGGGAGGAGGGGTCCCTCATCACGGAGGCAGTGAGTCCAGCCGCACTGCTGCCCTTCCCGGACGTGTAGACCTAGAAAGGAAGGCTGGGGTCAGGGGCGATGCCAGGGCCAGCTCCAACTCCAGGTATGGCAAGGTTGGGCAGACCCAGCACAGAGCTGAAGGCAGGGTCCCAGCACGGCCTAAATGTCCCAAGAACATGGCCCTGTGTGGTACGCAGAGGCCCAGAGGCTGCCCCACACAGGTCCCCATCCACAGACCTGCGAGACACATGCTGCCCCCAGCCCTGTGGCCACACAGGCCTAGCTGCGACGCCCGTGCGAGACACCAGAGCACAGAGCTGCGGCACAGGCACGAGTGCACAGGGCCTCAGGGTCACGTCTCATGCCGAGCACAGCTCGGTGGCAGAACAGGCACACGGGTGTGCAGCGCTGGGCTCAATCCCTGACATGCCACAGTGACCATCACACAAAGCGCGGGCTCGACAGGGCAGCTGGTCAAAGTCAATTTCAGCTCTCTTGTGTGACTGTTATCTTACTTTTGTAGCACTGGGGATTGAACCCAGGGCCTTTGCAATGAGCTACAAACCCCAGCCCATGTCTGAGATACGCTGGGCCCAAACTTGAGTCCCCCTGCTTGGCCTCCCAGGCACCAGTGTCTAATGCAGTTACCAGAAGACTTCTCCGTTCACATGCCCAGCCCCACTTGCTGCCAACCCGCCCCACTGGCCATGCTGGTCATGTCCTCTCCCCGCTAATAGCTACCAGGCCCCTGGTCAATGCCAGGTCCTCGGGCACCGGGCTCAAGCACTACTCAGGGCTCCCACCTCACTGTTCCAATTCCTGTGCACCCACGGCCACAATGCCCACAGCAGGACTAATAAGTGTCATCAATGCCACGTTCAGCAAATGACCAGCTGCCACTAGGGGAGACCAGGGCCCTCAAAGTGCCTGGCCAGGGACTTGTCAGGGGAGATGCAAGCCCCAGACGACTCTGGGCCTAGTGCTCCTGCCCCCAAACCCATACAAGCCTGTGAGTTCCAGCCCTCTCCCTCTGTCCACCCTGACCACAGCCATGGAGTGAGGACGGTATCCTGGTGCCCAGTCCACTTACCCCAATGGGAGAGCACTTCTCCACAAACTTCAGGAGTTGGGACTTGGCTGTCCCTGGGTCCCCCAGCATCAGCAGGTTGATGTCCCCTCGGCGAGTGAGTCCATCGGGGAGTCTGGTGGGGGCAGGGAAAGAACCCACAGGAGGCTGAGTGGCTACCATCGGAATGGCAGCCAACCTAGCTTCTCGTGAGCCTCAACTGGTGGAAGATGGGGCTAGGGCTGCAGCAATACTCGTGCCAGCCCTGGCTCCCAAGACAGCAATGGAGGGCAAACAAGGGTGGTGCCTACCTCCCAAGACAGGGAGGGTTAGGCAGATGGCACCTGAGGCCGGGCGCAGGTGCCCCGCAAACAAGCAATAAGCACTTCTCCCTCAGAGAAGACAGTGCTGTAGACAGGCTCTAGGCTTCACCATGTACCCAGGAGCTGGGCCCTGGCAGCCTCCACCCCACCTACAAGCTGGGTACTGAGCAGCACGCTCACAGACCTGCTCAGGAGAACCAGGGCAGCACAGGACATGACTGCTGTCACTGTCTACACTACCACTACCTTAGCGCTTCCAAAGACACCAAGTGTCTTCCACCCGCCTCACTCAGGGAACTGCCTGCAGATGGCGTGGCTCTCTCATCACCCACTCAGGGGGGTCCAACTGCCTTTGTACCTCATCTGAGGGAGGGGAGGAAGACTGCTGAAGGCAGCCTGGGAGTGAGCGCCCGACTACCTGGCCGCTGTCCTCCCACGTGCCACATCACCAGTCCCTGGCCCTCACCTCTTCCGGGAGCCCCCGAAGAGCAGGCAGGCAATCGCTTTCTTCATGTCCGTGCCCCCAAAGATGGATGGCGCAATGCTCTTCGAGATGACCTCGTAGACATTGGGGAGGGCAGCCAGACGCCGGAACTCCTCCTCCTCTTGCGGACTCACAGACCCAGCAAAGCTTCGGCCTGGACAGAAGGGAGCTGAGAGTCTAGGGATACTGCTCAGCCCCAGGCCCAGCGTCCACCTCTACACCTCTACACCGGATCCTCCGAACCTGAACCTGGTTTAAGCAACCCCCCTCAGTGTAGCGCCACAGCTACAGCTCAGGACAACAGGAGGCTGCCCGGCCACCTGACAGCAGTGCCCGGCCCCGACTCACCAGAGCCCTCTGTGTCGACCTGGATGCCCAGGACGCGGATGTAGGAGCTCCGGATGCCCACACCCACTTTGTCACGGCCCTTGCTGGAGTTGAGGCCAAACTTCTTGATGGAGTAGATGCCCATGATGGTGACCCTGTTCCCAGGGACAACTTTGTCACACAGGTACCTGAAATAGGGTGAAGAGAGTAGCAGTGAGGTCCTGGTGGGCACGGCCAGCTGCTCCCATGATGCCCTTGGCACCTTACCATTCCCAGCCCAAGCGTCACCCCACACTGCATCACAACTGCCCCACAGTGGTGACAACAGGCAGGTGCGATGCTGAAAGCTCACTGAGCCTGCTGAGGGGGAGCTGGTGCCCACTCAGCCCTCCAGAGGGCCTGACTCCACCTCCACTGGGTGCCTGGCCCTAGGTCCACAGCTGGCTCAGAAGCCTTCCTCCTCACCCACTCCACCTCGGCCTCTGGTCCTCAGCTCCTCTTTCACAAAAAGTATGTTCCAAGAGAGGTCCCCAGAGTCGCCCTGGCCATGCAGCACAGAGCCTGGGGGCTGTGTGACCTCAGAGCAGTCACTGCACCTCTGAGCCTGGGGAGGTGATAAAGTCACCCAGTCTTCCCCTACTGCTGTGGAACCAGTGCGGTGATAAAGAAGAGTCCCATCTCTGCGACCTTCCCCCAACCCCATGGTTTCACAACAGCAGCTTTTCAAGATTCCTGGTCCAGCTGCGTGTCTGACAGCCCCATGGGAGGACAGAGACCAACCTCATCCCCTCTCCTAAGTGGACAGGAAACAACCACACATGGGCTACCTCTCCAGAGAAATGGAGAAAGCTGCGGACAGCTCCCCTGAAAAATGTTCCCACACAATACACAGAGGCCCAGTGCGCTGGTACACTCGAGCTGAGGCAGGAGGATCACCATGAGTTCAAGGCCAGCCTGAACTACATAGGGAGACGCTGCCTCAAAAAAAAAAAAAAAAAAACAAAAGGCACAGGCAACCCAGGCCACTGAGAGCCCAGGCCCACTTCTTGTCTTTCAGTCTTGACACACCGAGGAAGAACACAGCCAGGCCCTGCACTAACGGGATCACTCAGCCTCTCAAGGGCAGGGTGGGCAGGGGGAACCTCACCTGTCGCAGTAGAGCTGCATGTGCCGGGGCATCTCACCGTGTGGTACCGCATCCGGCAGCTCCTGCAGCTTCAGAGTCTGGAAATCCACACACTTGCACTTGTCAGGCATAATGAAGTATGGGTCCAGTGGACACCGGGGTCGGCCAGCCTGGTCCCTGCGGAGAAAGTCTCCATAGCCACCAAGAACTGAAGGCTGGGGCCAATGTGTCCCAGGGTCAGCAACTGAGGTCCTAGACAGGCCAGGGAAAAGCCTGAAAGGGCTGCTCAAGCAGGTGAGAGAGCAACAAGCAGGCGAGGCTCCTCCACGAGGGGGCCAGGCGGGGGCAGGCGAGGTCCCCGGCAAGGAGTCAGTGCTTCCCAAGGGAAGCCCCTCACTAACCCACCTCCCACCAGGATCCCTCGCAGGAGATCTGGCCTACACAGCGAGCAGGCCCTGGCTGGGGCCACAACACTCCCTGTAGTAGTCTCTGCCCACAACAGCACAGCCACACATCCACAGGGCCATTATGGATGCAGGGACACCACGCCAAGGGAGGCCCTGCTCTGCGGCGCTAGCTTCCAGCCAAGGAACGAAAAACACACCATCTGATCAAAACACACAGTTAACAAAGTTTTTTTTAAAAACGCATCGCAGGGCCAGGCCTGGTGGAGTAAGCCTGTAATCCCAGCACTCAAGAGGCTGAGTGAGGTAGGGTCATTGGGAGTTTGAGGTCAGCCTGGGCTACATGGGGAGACCTTGTCTCAAAAAAAATTGTGGGCTGGGGATATAGCTCAGTGGCACAATGCCTGCCTGGTAAGCGCAAAGTCCTTGGTTCAATTCCCAGTATGAAAAAAATAACTATTGTAGTAACATTCCCATTAATCCCCAACAATCCCCCAGCCCCAGTTTGAACACTTATCCCACTGTCCTTGCCACTTTCTGCAGCCACTCTGGAAGGCCTTTCCTGAGTGTCTTTAGTTGTGCTGTCATGGCTGCTTCCCTGTCCCTGAAGCAACTCAAAAGATTCACCTTTCATGGTCATTTTGACTTTGCGGAAGAGCCTGAAGTCACACAGAGCCAGAGTTGGTGAGCAGGTTGCCGAGCACAGTGACATATTCTTAGGAACCCGCCTCTGTGTTGGGTGGCGCTCGGAAGCAGCGCTCACCGTACTTTTTAGTCACACCTCATAGAGACAGTCGCACAAGGACTTCCAGAACTGCCTCACGAAGTGGCACAAACCACATGGTACTCCAAGAGGCATTCACACCAAAGGGTCTCTGAATTTAATAAAACTAAACATTCACCACGTATCTTGGTCACCTCCCTAACTACGTAAGAAAGGAGAGGTGTGTTACACAAAGAGCAGCCAAGTGAGAGGAGGGTTGGGGTGCTTCAGGAGAGGAGGCACAGTCACTGCGGACGGAGGGGAGGAGGCTCAAGCCCGAGCAGACCACACGAAGAGCCACCCGCCACCTGAGCGCTGGGGGAAGAGCAGACCAAGGGGGACACGAAACAAGGTACACACACTGCAAGTGGCTGCAGGTGAAGAGGAAGGAGCAGGGGAGGCTATGCCAGGGCAGCAGAGAAGGCCCCGTCCTCCAGCTCAGGAGTGTAGCAAGTGTCCCATACGGGGCCAGGCACTGAATATCCCTGGTTCCGCAAGGTGAGGGCCGCACACTCGGCCTCGCCAGTCAGGCCACTCCTGCAGTGCGGAACCTGGCAGTGTTCTTCAGCTACATGGTCACACGCAGGATACGGCCAGCACCACTCTGCTTCCCAGCCCTGTGCCCCCCCACAGGGGTCCTGTGCCCCCCCGCAGGGACCTGGCACCCAGCAGCGATCCTGAGCCGGGCCCAGGGTCGCCCCAGCCGCACACTCACGTGTTGCACTTCCTGGGCAGGGCGTAGCCCTCCAGGCCAGGGCGCATAGCAATGTTGGTGAGGGTGTTTCGGCAGCTGCGGCACTGGATCGAGATGCGTGTGGCCTTGGCCCGAACTGCAGAGGCTGCGATGATGATGCCAGGGATCTTCACCAAGTGCGACATCATATCCGACTGCAAGAGCCACAGGGAGGCACATAGTAAAAGGGAGCCTGGGGACACGGTCCACCTCTCAGCCTCCGTCCAGTCACCCCCATTTCTATCCTGGTCCCTCTCATACCACCCGGGTCACCAAACTGTGCCTGTCTCTCTCCAGTGTCACCCTGAGAACAAGGGCCAGTCTTTCTGCTTGCTCCTCTTAGTGAGGACCGGACCAGCACCAGAGCACAGCTGCCACCCACCTGGGAATGAGACTGCCCCGCCCACGACCACGGGACCTTCAGCTTCCATGGTGGCCTCAGCAGGGCCTTGAGCACACCACGCCTCCGCACCCCTGGCTCCGCAGCAGCCAAGGCCCCTCTTGCCCAGAAAGCTCCCTCCCCACCGGGCACACCCTGTGCCATCCCCACACCACACTGCCGCCTCCCTCCCCATCGCTCCTGGAAGCCCCCACCTCTTTCGCGCCCTGACTGCTCTCACTGAAACCACCTCGGAGCTCAGAAGGTGCAGCACACGTTTCTCGGTCTCCCTGCTAGACACAAACTCCAGCAAAGTTCACCCACACAGCCCCTACTGCTCCTCAAGGACCAACTCAACGCCACGCCTGGGGTGAGCTCAGCAAACACTGTCCAAGGGAGTCGACCAACCCAAAGCAGAAAACAGGCTCAGAAAGGTTGAGTGCCACGGCCAAGGCCGCCCTGCTGGTGCCCGGACGGTCTCGAGGCCCTCTGCCCATGGCAGCAGTCTCCCAGGGGACCCACCTTCAGGCTCCGGATGCTGGAGGGGCTGGCATCCGACTTCAGCATGACCTGGATGGCCTGGAGCACCTCCTCCCCAGCAGGTCGGGGCCGGGTCACCTCGTCAGCCACCTCCTTGGCCGCTTCCTCCAGCTGCACAGGAGGGCACAGGCCGTTGGTGACGGGCAGAGCACATCCCAGGTGGGCTTGGGCTGGGCCCCACTCACCAGCTCCAGGTGCTCAGCTGGCTGCTTGTACAAGGAATCAGCCAGGTCCTCGTCAAAGCTGGCCAAGTCCTCCATCTCCACCTCCACCCAGTACTCCCCCAGGTTGTAATGGCGCTTGAGCTCATCCCTGCAGGGTATTGGAAGAGGCAGAGAGGAAACCCCCATGGCTCTGGTACCCTCACCCGGCTACCATTCCCCCAACCCACATCCCGTTCCAGGGAAGCCTATGTTAGCCCTGCAGAGGTGCCCTACTGCCCCAAGAGTCCCCCAGAACAGCTCCACGAACACCAGGGCGACACAGGCAGTGGAGGGGCTTGAGCCCCAGGACAGCAGCTGGTGCTTTCACTGCAGGGCGCCTCCTCCTTCAAACCCCCTCCAGCCTGGAGCCTCAAGGCAGCACAGCCCAGGTCCGTCTCATCAACCGCCGCACGGTGCCTCTGGACAGAGCGTCCGTGAGCGGCTGCTCCCTCCACCCGAGGCAGGAGTCCCCGCAGGCTGCGCGGCCCCGAAGCTCCCACTGCGACAGCGAGCCCTGCGTGTGCACAGCCGCTGCCCGCCAGCGCGCCCTCCTCTCCAGGGAACCCCCAAGCGGCAGCCCACCCTCCTGCACCCCCGCGGCCACCGTCCCCGGCCTCCCCCCGTCTCCGGGCTCGGGAGCGCCTCTCAGCGCCCTCGGGAAGGAGACCGAGGAGCCGGCCCAGAGCGGCCGCGGCTGCCCCGGGGACCTCCGCGGGGGTC